ATCGCTTTGTTTGAGGTTATTTTCGAGGTGAGAAAAAGTAAACCATGGAACAGGGACCTCTTTTTATCGTTCCAGGTTGTGAACCTGATACTCCTGACGTTAAATGCCCACAGCTGTATTCATGTAGCCATTGCGTGTGAAACGGCCTAGTGTTCTCTGCATGAATATACATTCACCAATATTTATTTCAACACGTCTTGACTCCTTGCGTTCATTTTTTCAAACCAGACTGAAGTACGCACATTAATTGTAGGGCATTCACCGTCACACACTTTACTTGTGATGCGACCATGTTTCTTATGCCAGGGGCGGTGGGTTAGCCTAATGGTTAAAGCGATCGCTCGTCACGCCAAAGATCCGGGTTCGATTCTCCACTTGGGTCAATGTGTGAAGCCCACTTGTGCCCGATATTGTCACAGCTATTCAACGTCGCACCCTAGTTATATATATGCGATATATCTAGGTGTCTTATGTCTGATATTATGCCCGATATTGTCTCAGATATTCAACGTCACACACTTTATGTGGGAGATATCTAGGTGTCTTATGTGTGATATTATGCCTGATATTGTCTCAGATATTCAACGTCACAAACTTTATGCGTAATATATCGAGGTGTCTTATGTCTGATATTTTGCCCGATATTGTCTCAGACATTCAACCTCACACACTTTATGTGTGAGATATCGAGGTGTCTTATGTCTAATAGTAAGCCCGATATCGTCCCAGATATTCAACGATGTACATTTTATATGTGACAATGTCTGATACAGTGTCATATGTCTGATAAAGTTTGATATGTTACATTTAATACGTCTAGCCTGATGCATGTAACAATCCAAGTTTGAGTACCTTTCGAAAACATTCAGTAACAACACTTGCATCAAGGAAGACTAATTTTCAAATCACCCGGGTGAGTAAACGGTGGGGTAGCCTTGATGGGATCGGGTGGTCAGGCTTGCTGACTTGGTTGACACATGTCATCGTATACCATCGTAAGAAAAATAATGGGACGGTGAAGTATCCTTGTGGTTAAAGTGTTCGCTCGTCACGCCACAAACCCGGGTTCGATTTGCCACATGGGTACGAAGTATGAAGCCCATTTCGAATGTCCCCTCCGTGATATTTTTGGAATATTTCTTAAAACCCCGCTCACTCACTCACATGGATTCAAAATTAGCATGAAGAAAATTAATCCATATTTAAAATGTTAAATATTCAATCTCTATCATTTGCATATTTTCTAAATTATTTTGAAAGTTTGCATCGCAATGCCTCTGGACATTATGCGGCTATTGGTCATTGGACAAAACCTCGTAATGCATCTATCTGCTCAAGTCAAAACACTATAAGTTGAATGTTATCGTAAATCAGTTTTTCCTGTTTATTATTTCCATGTAATATTCAATACTTATTTAATGTATACATTTTAACATTTATACGTTTATATTTTTTTTGGATTACAACACCTGTTAACGACTTAATTACACAGCCACTGACCATTGTAGCACACACATTGCAGCACACACATCTGATATATCAAACTGCTGAATTCAAAACGCTGCATGTAAAAGGTTACGGGATATCATTCTTGTTTCTAGCTGCATGGCTGAATATTTAGCTGTTCAACGGCCCCGTGTAAGAGATCGAGTCTTGACCAAGCAGACCAATGATTGATATTATGGGCGAATGTCCAAGCCGCCGAAAGGAGGAGGGGGAGCTTAGTGGTTAAAGCGTTCGCTCGTCACGCCGAAGACCCGGGTTCGATTTCCCACATGAGTACAATGTGTAAAGCCCATTTCTGGTGTCCCCCGCCGTGATGTGGCTGGAATGTTGCTAAAAGCGGCGTAAAACCGTACTCACTCAATCCAATCCGCCGATATACGACGCTGTACTGTGAACCGAGAGACACAGCGTCAGTGAACTCTGCAAATATAACACAGGCATCTCAAAACATTCCCTTGACACTTCACAGTGGGTTCTTTTGTTTTCTAACCTGAATGTCTGTCAAGTCAGCTTTACATGTACTAATTTATCAAGGAAACGTCATCGTTTATTTCGTCTCCAGCAAATTATATTATTATATTTATATTCTGGGGTGTTTTTCAAGAATACATAAACATGTCATCTGGCTCCGAAGCCGAATCACGTGATGCTGTTTCTGTGCGCATATAAAGGGGACAGCATCCAATTCATTTCGTAAGGACGACATTGGCAGAGAACGTGGCACAGGCACATCCCCAGCGACGACCTTCCAGAATGATCCTCCAAATAACACTTGTCCTTGCTGTTTTCACAGAGGTTGCCAGCAGCACCATCTGTTGTCCACCCTCGCGATTCTCTGCGTTCCAAGATGTCACCTTCTCCAACTCCACGACCATTTTTCGAGTAAGTACAGTTCGCTCTACCATGTATAGTGTAATAAAGCACACTTTCGCCCTGAACTATTATAACGTTAAAGCACTCGGACGCAAGTGTATTTCTTAAGTCTTTTCGCTTCTTCGAGCTGTATATTTTCTTGAGTGACTGCTTCAAAAAACGTAACTGATCTTCTACTGCGAAAAGAGCAACACAACAATCTATTTTGTGCACATTCTTTGTTACGGTACAACTATTTTTTATTTATTGTTTTAGATTTTTGACAAACCACTTTTGTTCCATTTTTTTCTAGAACATTTTTGAAAACCCGAAATACTGCACTGTTTGTCTCACTGTTTTAAACTATTAAATACAAGAGAGTGTGGGCCAGGTCAGTCAAGGAGGATTCCCTGTAACGTGCATCAAGGGTCAGTTACATTCTTTGGGGGGTGGCGGGGTAGCCTAGTGGTAAAAGACGCGGGTTCGATTCCCCACATGGGTACAATGTGTGAAGCCCATTTCTGGTGTTTCCCGCTCCGTGATATTGCTGAAATATTGCTAAAAGCGGCGTGAAATCATACTCACTCACTCACAACTATTTTTGGCGTTAGCTCGAGGTTAGACAAACATCTGAACACATATTACAGAAAAAACGGTAAGTAAAGTATGTTTGTAAATATAATAAATAGGAGCCGAAAAACTTTGATCATTTCCCTTTTCATTTCCCTGAAACTGTGATAATTTACATATATTACAGAACAAAAAACGGTAAGTAAAATATCTTTATAAATACATGTATAATAAGTAGGAGCCGAGAAACTTTGATCAGTTTCAAACATTTCATTTCCCTGAAACTGTGATAAGTTAGACTTGCCACATATTCTAGACATGCACGGACGTATACTATGGTTTAAGGGACCTTCTAGATGAAGGACGTGCTTCTGATACTGCCAGTTGTGTTTGTTGTTTAACGCCGCACTCGGCAAGGTTCCAGCTGGTACTTTATCATAATTGTCTCGGTTAGATTTACAAAATAATCTTAATGTTTCAAAGCTGACAACTTAATGCAAAATGGTTACTATTCGCATTTGTGTTTGCTTTTAGGGTTTGTATTACTTCGTCTGGGACGGCCCCAACCAAAGATACTTGGTCGGCGAGGATCGTATCGCCAGCAATTACTACGGGACCAAGAAAACAATCTACGACTACAAGAAGGTAGGAGAGATTTACCGAGGGCTATTTCTATGTTTAATCGTGGCGGGTTAGCTTACTGGACTAGCACAAAATGTATAAATAAACGTTTTATGTACCATTTGTTCAGGGTCCCACCCCCGCTGCAATACATCTCCCTTGCAATGATCGAAATAGCGGCCTGCCCGCCTGCCCGAGGCTGGCAGCTTTTGTGTCGGGCTGCCTGAAAAATATCTCCACAAGCCCAAATGTCTGGCAGATATTTTTAAATACATCCCTTTTGGAAGCTTCGTATGAATAACACGCGAGAAGATACATTTGAGGCGGGTATCGCTCTAAAATTTCATAATCAAAGTTTTTCTAAAAACATATAATTTTGATGATGTAAACCGATAAGGGGAATTGCAAAATTAACAGTCTCTTTTCAAATGTCACAGGCTGGGGATGTCTGAGTATTTAATTTCATGCTTGTTGTTTTTAATTTTCTGAATTAATTCACATTTGAAACAATGATAAATGCAATTTATGAGTCAAAAGTGCGGGCAGGCAACTTTCAAGATGGGAAGGCAACATTTATTGGTCACCTGCCCGACTGTATGGTTGAGTTTGCAAATTATTTCGATCACTGCTCCCTTGTCCCTGTTTTTGCTGTAATTTTTCCATGATCCCAAGTACCAAGTTGTACCATAATCACTTACTCACATTCCAACACGAAGACAAAATACACCTGCTAGGGTCATTACCAGGACACCTAAGCACCAACATATATCTCCTAGTTTCAGACAACTTCATTGGTTTTCTGTTTCCAGCAGAATACAGTTCAAAATCCTATTTTACACTTTCCAATGCCTCAAGACAGACTCTGCTCCTTCTTATCTCAAAGCCTTTGTTCAGCCTCACACACGACACTGCGTTCCCAAGACAAGGACGCCATCAACATTTCAGACAAACTTAAAAAAACATCTCTTCAAAATTGTCTATGACTGTTAAAACAAGAGGCATTATTTATATACTGTGTGAGGTGAGGTGAAAATGGGTTTAACGTCGTGCTGGAGAATATTTCGCTCATATGACGACGTGCATGCGTGTGTATATGTGCGACTGCTTGCGCTAGCCCTAACTTAAGCTGGTTTTATAGTGCTAGCCCACTGAGATATCGTGCCGCAGTGAAGCATGAATACCCCACTCAGACACATTATAAATACTGACTCCGAGCCGACCAGTCCTTGTTGTACCCATTAATGCCGAGCGCCAGGCAGGGACCAACAAGTAACATATTTTAACGTCCTTCCGCTCTCCGGGCGGACGCTCTAACCACGGAGGCGGTCTCTATATACTGTGTAAAATATATGAATATGTGAAAGCGCCAGTGAGCAGTCAACCCGGAACATTAGATTAGATTAGATTAGATTAGATTAGATTAGATTATAACAATGATTTTTGTTCGCAGGGGAGCTGCATACAGGATAGACTCCGTGGCCCGTACTTGCACAACATTCCCCACTCAGGGAAGGTTCGTTGATCAGGAGAATGTCTGTGTTCCAGGTATGTCATTTTTTAAATGTTTGTCTGTTCTGTTTACAAATCCCTCCGTGATAATCCAGACAGGGAAGATACCTACATGTCCCAAGAGTCAACTGAAGTCCATTGCTGGACATTTTGAAAATACATACTGTTATTGTGTCATCGCGTTATCAACCACCGGTTTGACTGGTCCAGACTCGATCGTTTCTGGCGGCTATTATATTACTCTAATACTGCTGACCTATTCGTGACCACTGTCCAGTGATATTCCACTGAGATACCATGCCGCAGGTTAACACGGATACCCAAAACCAGACACACCATACTGACAAAGAAAGGCCCCTCTCCTTCTTCTCGAACTCCGTTGTTTCGAATGTACCCATATCTCGAGCTTATTATCCGTTACAGCAAACATAGATTTGCCTGCACACCTCGAATTCGTCATAACATTGCGACCACGCTTGTGGGTATTTGCCATGTTATCAGTTTTGAGTGAGTGAGTGAGTATGGTTTTACGCCGCTTTTAACAATATTCCAGCAATATCACGGCGGGGGACACATTGTACCCATGTGGGAAATCGAACCCGGGTCTTCGGCGTGACGAGCGGACGCTTTAACCATTAGGCTACTACACCGTCCCTTATCAGTTTTGAAAAGGGTGAATACATCTTGCACATCATACCGTCATTAAATCTTTAATACCGTTCCTTCATCGTAATATCCAGGCCACGCATCGCGAATGTACCGATATCTCAAACCTATAACTAGTATTGCCAAGATCGAGATAACGGGATTCGAATAAAAATTGAGTGCATATTGTTTTACAAAGCAGTCAGCTCTTCAAATACTCCCTGTCTGGCCTATTCTCCTCTACCCATGATATTTAGTGGTCGCCTCTTTAATAAAACAATGTTTAATCTCAAGCGACAATTCATATGATTCCGCTTTGGCCACATTCTCCCGAACCCCCTATATGATATACTCGCCTGCAATCATTTGAAATATACCAATATCTCGAGCCTATTATCTGGTAATGCCAGGATCGAGATAACGGGATTTGAAAAAAATTTAAATGCATAATGTTTTACGCCGTAGTCAGCTCTTCCTATAATCCCGGTCTGGCCCATTCTCCCCTACCCATGATATTTAATGGTCGCCTCTATCATAACACAATGTTTATTCTCAGGTGACGCTGTCACCCTGGGTCCCCTCTTCTATGGGCACAACCAGGACACCCTCCATGGGACAACGTACTCCACCAACAGCACCACCCCCGACGGCAGGCACCAGAACGTCATTGCTGTCGTCTCAAAAGATTGTATACCAATAATCAGCACCAGGATCACCAGTGGCAACGGCGAAGGTTGGTATGAGTGAGTGAGTTTAGTTTTATGCCGCTTTTAGCAATGTTCTAGCAATATCACGGCGGGGGACACAAGAAATGGGCTTCACACATTGTACGAATGTGGGGAATCGAACCCGGGAATTTTCGAATATAAAATGGTGTTGGGTGAAGGAGTAGAGATGAGGGAGGGAGTTACCGGGCGAGTGCGTGGGCGAGTGGGCGAGTGGGCGAGTGAGTGAGTGAGCATAGACGCCCGCCCGGAACAGTGCAGCAGGAATATCCCCAAATGTTCCATGCTTGAAAGAGAGTGAGATTGTTAACGTCATTTTGATCAGTAGTTAAGACAAAAAAGCCGAACCCTTTTTCAAAGATACGTCATCTGATTGGCCTAAGAACGCACGCAATTTTTATGTTTTGGCCTCCTATTGAGAAATTGTCAGATCTTCGCACAAGTGATATTGTATCGCAGTAAAAGATCTGAGAGCATTTGTACTGGCATTCAAGTTCTATTTCTTTACCATTTTACACTGGAAGACACACAGTGGAAAACACCCAAAGTGTTTGTTGTTGTTTTTCAATTATTTCATTTTGTGGGATTTTAATTTCTGCCTTATAAGACATAACATGTTTGACAAAACTGAAATGACTAAAGTCTGCAGTCTTGTCTGCGAATTGTCTGCCACGGTGACTCGAGATCAACCGCTGATTTGCCTGGGACAGTTTAGATTATTTCCAGGCCACCGTTATATAACTCATATATTAGTCACCGTGAAGTACTGAAGATACCGAATGTACTGAAATATATTTTTACTATCCAGGTGGAAACTCTCTTTACGTTCTGGCGTACAACAATGTCTTCCCCGGTGTCAAAGACGTCTCTCTGTTGGAAATACCGTCCTACTGCTATGCGTAATTATGTACGTACACTGAAGTGTTTATTTTGCAATTGTGAACAGTGCTACATATTTTAACATATCCTGCCCTAAAATATTAACATTTGTCTCAGTGAAAACCAACTGACTGAACAGTGACCATCAAATATTAACTTTTCACTCAATGAAATCCCTTTGACCATCAAATACTAACCCTTCACGCAATGAAACCCCTTTGATCATCAAACACTAACCCTTCACGCAATGAAACCCCTTTGATCATCAAATACTAACCCTTCACGCAATGAAACCCCTTTGATCATCAAATACTAAACCTTCACGTAGTGAAACCCCTTTAACCATCAAATACTAACCCTTCACTCAATGAAACCCCTTTGACCATCAAATATTAACCCTTCACGCAATGAAACCCCTTTGATCATTAAATACTAACCCTTCATGCAATGAAACCACTTTGACCATCAAATACTAACCTTCACTCAATAAAACTACTTTGGAGATCAAATACCAGCTTTTCACTCAATGAAACCCCTTTGAAAATCAAATATTAACTTTTCACTCAATGAAACCCCTATAGACATCCATTATACTTACTTTATTTTCAATCTATCATCTTTGACCACCAAATACTAACTGTATTTTCAGTGAAACATCTTTGACCATCAAATACAAATTTTTTACTGATGACAAAGTTAACATTAGATTCGAACTCTCTTCTCAATGACTCACTCAACACCAAATGATGTCATTTTATTCAAGGGCACAATCAACATAACATACTAATTTTTCACTCAATGGCCCAGTAAAATATAATCATTTTACTCATTGTCACAGTTAACATTACACACCAACTATTCACTCAATGCCACGGTCAATGCCAAATATAATCATTTTACTCTTTGTCACAGTTAACATTACACACTAACTGTTCACCCAATGCCACGGTCAACGCCAAATATAATCATTTTACTCATTGTCACAGTTAACATTACACACTAAATGTTCACTCAATGCCACGGTCAATGCCAAATATAATCATTTTACTCATTGTCACAGTTAACATTACACACTAACTGTTCACCCAATGCCACGGTCAACGCCAAATATAATCATTTTACTCATTGTCACAGTTAACATTACACACTAACTGTTCACCCAATGCCACGGTCAACGCCAAATATAATCATTTTACTCATTGTCACAGTTAACATTACACACTAACTGTTCACCCAATGCCACGGTCAACGCCAAATCTAATCATTTTACTCATTGTCACAGTTAACACTACACACTAACTGTTCACCCAATGCTACGGTCAACGCCAAATATAATCATTTTACTCGTCACAGTTAACATTACACACTAACTGTTCATCCAATGCCACGGTCAACGCCAAATATAATCATTTTACTCGCTGTCACATTTTGCACAACAATGACCATTAAACACTGACACCTAATGGCACATTCTACATGATCCTCTGACATTGGGCCAAACAAATCGGACACACCCCAAAAATATGTTGTAGCATGATATTCCCCAGCACTTTGCAAAGGTTCATGCTTTAGTCCGGCATGTAACGATCAACTTCAAAATCGGACCAAAGCCACTGCACTATTTCCAGCTGTGAACTTTGTCTTGTAATAGAATTTCTTGGCTTCATTCCATGAGTATTATCATCATAATTCCACAGCATGAAATCAGGCACATTAATGCGAGTTATATCCAGGGTCAAAGGGCATTACTTTTGATTATTATCATAAGTGTGATACAATTTTCCCTTTTAAAAAACCTTTGGTCAAAATGTTCATCAGCAACTTCACGAACACATATGTTTTCTGTTTCAGGACATTGCTGATGAGAAAAGGATGTGCCCTGTCAAGTCACCGTGAAAATGTGAATCTTGCAAGATATTCATTAAAGCAACTTGAATGTAAAACAATATGTGTCATTGTTTTTAAGCATTTAAAAAAATGAAAAACAAACGAAGCAAGTTGGAACATTCCGGATTCATCCCAGGATCCTGATCAATCCTGCTTTTCGGTATGAAAAACGTGATTCTTCCAAAAAAACGTAATTCTTCCAGATGGGGGTATGAAACAGCTTCTGTGACATGGTCACCCCTGCCAGTTTCAATCTTTCCTTCAGGAAGTGGGAACTCCCCAAGAATGTTTGATTTCTTCGTCTCAAAAACAAATATAATCGAGGATCCCCGTGTGCAAAAAATAACCGGTTCTAATTATGTAGCTGATATCTTATACATCCTATCGATTCTCAGGCCAATGGCATATACGCCCAGAGGTGTACTTCATCGAGTGACTGAGTATGGCTTTACGCCGCTTTTAGCAATGTTCCAGTAATATCACAGCGGGAAACACCAGAAATGGGCTTCACACATTGTACTCATGTGTGGAATCGAACCCGGGCCTACGGCGTGACGAACGAACGCTTTAACCACTAGGCTACCCCACCTTCCCATTTTTTCTGACGATAGGATACGATGACATGTGTCAACCAAGTCAGCAAGCCTGACCACCCGATCCCATCAGTCGCCTTTTTTCGACAAGCATTAGTTACTGAACTCTAATTCTAACCCGGATCTTCACGGGTCACACAGCTGGCAGTTGAGATGAATAGGCATTGTCCGTGGTGTTGAGTTGCAGTTTGATATATGTTTGTTTGTTTGTTTGTTTGTTTGTTTAACGCCACACTCAGCAATACTCCAGTAATCTGGCGGTGGTCTGTAAATAATCGAGTCTGGACAAGACAATCCAGTGATCAACATCATGAGCATCGATCTACGCAATTGGGATACGATGACATATGTCAACCAGGTCAGAGAGCCTGACCACCCGGGTCGTTGTTGGCCTGAGCATTATCAACGGTTAAACAGAAGTTTTTTATAAGCACATCATCAACCACTCTCTCTAAAGGTCACAAAGCACATGGGTGTTAATAGCATACTTCCAACAGAAACGCAAACATTCAAAGTGTTTTCACATGCAAATTGGCAATTGCGACAAGAATTATTTAATTTCCGAGTATCTTCTTTTTGATTTTTTTATTGATCGTAATGACTGTTTCTGCCATAATTTCATTCGATTTTAATTTAGTCTTGTTAACTATGAACTATATTGATCACATTTATACAGCAGATCTAAAAAAACGGAAATGAACCTGTATGTATATGATGCCCCAAACAGTGCTGGGGTTAATATCTCTGTGTGTTGGTTGATGAACATGGAATGGATTGGTTTGTAAGGCACTTTTAATGTAGGCTGAATATCTGCCCGGCATTACCCAGAGTGTCAGAAAAGCTGTGTTCTTGACAACACAATTGGGTATTGTCAAATTGTCCGTTAAGAGGTTAGGAGGTACTAAACCTAAAGCACCAAGAACAGTGGGGAATCGAACAACATGGGTCTTGGGATGCAAGCGTGACATTTTGAATGTGAGGTCCGCGCATTTGCCATGTGCCTCGAGCTTGTCATGCACATGTGTCAAAACAGCCAGATAAAATGAATGAAAGATGATTGTATTTAATGTGACATAAACCACAAACAATCTTAAAATTTCAAGATACATAGTTTGAACTTGAGCGAGGAGAGCGCGTGAGTGAGAAGGAGAGGGGAGGGGGGAGGGGAGCGGAGAGAGCCAGAAAGGAGAGAGGGTGGGGGGAGAGCCAGAGAGATAGAGAGGGAGCGCGAGGGGAAAGACTGAGCGAGCCAAAAAGATATAGGGAGGTAGGGGGATAGAGGAATAGCCAGACAGAGAGAGAGACGGTAGGAGAGAGCCAGAGTGATAGAGAGGGAGCACAAGGGGACAGAGAGAGAGAAAAAAAAATAGTCTCACGTCAGGGCCTCGTCAACTTCCGTTTGAGGACGTCCAAGTTCGGGACAAGTCCTGGTGTCGGGGAATGCGTCTGTGAATACTAATCCCACGGAATCGTGCCATGTTGTTGAAAACGCCATTTACTCAGAAGTTGGCGGTTCATATTCTCCTCAGTGCTGCCCGTATTATACCGTTGTTATCCTTGTTGTTAGGAAGGTAGTACTTATTTTACGGGTCAAAGCTTGGAATATGAAGGATGACGAATCTCAAGCCTTTGCGCATGTCTATGAATACCGCGCTGTCATTCTTGGTCACGTGACAAGGGATCCACGAAAGTTTCCAAAGGGCGGTGAAGTGAATGTCGAAGATATTACTATTGCATTGTTTCTTACAACAGATTAAAAGATTTTCGTTGCAAATAGTATGGCCTCCAGCAAACGCAGTTCAGCGGAAGGTACGTTTTAGTATGTTCAATCTTTGCATTGTTTCATGAAGTGTAAGGATGATTTGGTGCAAGCTTGACTTTGAGAAGTCCTTCGGTCTCGAGCCTGAAACACGTTACAAGGGATGTATCCTAAGGCAAGTGACTTGCATTTATTTCACCCAGCTGTGAATGGGTACCCGGTAGGATTAGACGTTTAGGTGACTGTTAATCTGTATGTGACTGATCGTCAGCTGGGGTGGAATACTCCCCCAAATGGTAAGAATGGCATTTGAGAGAACAATGATGAAGACGCCGAGGTAGGGTGGGTGGGGGGAGGGAAGGAGTTGAGTTTAACGCCGCTTTGAAGTGTACTTCATTTCGCCATGTGATCACAGCAGAAGTCCTAAACTTAGAAGGTAAGCCAAGGAAACAGCTAGCTATCGTCCATTAGATCATGTGAAAAGATCAATCCAACACACACACCGTGATTTTGACACATTGAAAAATTAGTAATGAAGAAGTCGCCGCTTCTGAGATGACACAGTAGTGACAACTAGTTATTCGATTTTTATGCATGAATGATGTTGTCACACTTGCTTCGATTATTTGAAGTGGGATCAGAATTCCTACCGGCAAGAAAGAAGTGATTCTAAATAAATATCAGATTCCATGTCCAATGGTTGTTTAAATTCCGCTAGAGGACCAATAAGAAGCGAGGATCCAAACCGTCTTGGTTGAATATGATTTCCTTAAATGGGAAGTGTACACGCAAATATCACGTATATTCTCATGTGAAACAAAATGGTATTTTTAATTAATTATATCAATGTCTGAAAATATACACTCATTTTTCTTACAATAAACGTATAACCTTCAATATAAGTGCTGAAATGTTATGCCTTCTTGAAGCCTTTGTTGCCGAGCTAAACAGGCCAGAGTTACCGCCCTTTTATAATGACGTAACTGGTGCCAATTCATTTACATTGGCCCCTGTCTAGTCCCAAATCAAAAGATATAAATGCTGACATCAATCACATGAAAACAGTTTTGGCTGTGAAACTATTTATGCTGAAAACGTCCGGGACAAAAAGGTTAATTATCAGGTAAACTTGCCCTTTAATACTGCATGTACAGCAAACGGTTCCCTGTCTGTGAGTAACCATGCCAAGGGCAGCACGCTTCCAGACACGTATCCCACGTTCTGCCAGAAGTACACATCTCGCAGATGGCGCATCGCATTCATGATGGTGGGTGCATTCACGCTCATCCAGTCAATGGAGAACTGCATGTCGTTCGCGCTCGTCTGTATGACAAGGGACGTTACTCTGGAGCCCTACGTCAACCACACTGTCATGGCGTCGCACGAAATGGACCCTGACGTTGGGAATAAGAGCATGCTGTACAACACGTCAAATGTCGGTAAGGTATGTTGGTTTGTTGCGTTTAATAGTGACATGGCATGATACAGTTTTACATGGACAGCCCACTTATGTGTTGCTTAGTGTATTCGAGAGAGAGAGAGAGAGAGAGAGGAGAGAGAGAGAGGAGAGAGAGAGAAAGAGAGTGGGGAGAGAGATAAAGAGAGAGAGAGAGAAAGAGAGAGAGAGAGAAGGAGAGAGAGGGAGAGAAGAGAGGGGAGAGAGAGAGAGAGAGAGAGAGAGAGAGAGGAGAGAGAGAGAGAGAGGGAGAGAGAGAGGAGAGAGAGAGAGAGAGAGGGAGAGAGAGAGAGAGGAGAGAGAGAGAGAGAGAGAGAGAGAGAGGAGAGAGAGGGAGAGAGAGAGGAGAGAGAGAGAGAGAGAGAGAGAGAGAGAGAGGGGAGAGAGAGAGAGAGGAGAGAGAGAGAAGGGAGAGAGAGAGAAGGAGAGGGAGAGAGAGGAGAGAGAAGAGAGAGAGAGAGAGAGAGGAGAGAGAGAGAGAGAGAGAGGAGGAGAGAGAGAGAGAGAGAGAGAGAGAGAGAGAGAGAGAGAGAGGAGAGAGAGAGAGAGAGGAGAGAGAGAGAGAGAGAGAGAGAGAAGAGAGAGAGAGAGAGAGGAAAGAGAGAGGAGAGAGAGAGAGAGAAAGAGAGAGAGAGAGAGAGAAGGAGAGAGAGAAAGTGAGAGAGGGAAGGAAAAAGAGAGAGGGAGGGAAGGAGAGAGAGAGAGAGAGAAAGAAGGAGAGAGAGAGAGAAAGAGGCGGGAATCTAAGTCTCACATTTAGTACGACTATACCACGCACATTATATTTTCATTGCCAGGTTGGAAAAAACGTCACTATCTGACTAGTGCACAAACCAGAGTGACTGCCGATCAAAATCAACAGTGGGCCAGGGAGATTCAGAGAGAGGGCATTGAGACAGGGTGAGGGTGAATGAGCTGGGAGAAGGGTCGGAGGGAGAAAAGCGAGAGGGGGGATGAGAGAACGACAGAGCGAGTTAGAGGGGAGAGAGAGCTGGTAGAGAAACGGAGAATGATCGAGAGGGAAGGGGGGGGGGGGGGGCGAGAGAAAGGGCAGAGTGAGTGAGTACCTGCAAAGGTAAACAGATAATGTTATCCGTTCTTACTACTAATATAGCAACGTGCATATGAGATGATGTAAAAAAAATATTTTTGAAACGATATAGCATTATTAATAGACAATGTTTTAGGTATTTAAGAGGTACGGTAACTTTTCAACTACATCAAACAAGTCGTTTTTGTTAAAAAGCC